CCCTTCGACATTGTCAGAAAAATGCAGTGTTTCTTAGAAGCGTTGTACTACTTTTACATTTACTAGTGTGTGATTGTGCATGTAAGTAAGTCAAACATGGCCCTTTTACTGGCTGTTTACCTGCATTTTCGCATCTTGCAAAGTCTGGCCCTAAAACAGGATCACAACTTGGGTGGTAACAAAGAAAAATCATATTTAGCATTGGTAGTAGTATTATAAAAGTAACTCTGTTGAAACACGAAGCTGAAGCGTTTTGGCTATCTTGGCCACAGTGCACAGATAAGAAAGGAAAAAGAAAGCCTGGGAAATCACTCTGTGTGACAGAAAGAGCTTTGGTACCCTGGATGCAGTGCAATATATAGCAAATTTGTATACTGGCTGCTTTAAAATCCATAATGTTTTCATGCTAGTTTTTTGGATAATTTACTTTCTGAAAGAAGGATGGAGTCTGATCATTGTTTCTTCTTTTTTTTAAAAAAAAAAAAAGTTGTTTATGCTTTGAATATTTTGGCAATGTTCTTGTACATAAACTTTTTTCCTATTTATGTGCATAACTTCAGATAGGATGGATGGTGGTGTTGAAGTAAAAAGGACCACATACGTTGTCCTTTTATCATCTAGATAAGCAGCAGCTGGGCTAGTTAGTACACACAGTGCTTTAGCAAACAGCTGGTTCTTATCTGAATGACAAAGGGCCAGGGTAGAGACCTTTTTGATTGGGAAAAAAAATTATAATCTTGTTTCTATTTTTATTTTAAGAGAATGGGGAGAAATGGAGCTACAGGCAATCTGTAGGATACGATTGCATTTTAGAATATGATCATTTATTATAGATCAGTGCTGGACCCAGAGAGGGAAGTTTCTCTTTTCACCCTGGAGAGGAGAAGCCTCAGGGGGATCTTACCAGTGTCTATAAATAGCTGATGAGGGAGAATAAGATGACTGATCCAGACTCTTCTCAGGGATGCCCAGTGCCAGGAGAAGCAACCAGCACAAACTGAAATGCAAGAAATTTCTTTAAACGTAATAAGAAAACTTTCTTCTGAGAGTGTGGTCAACCATTTGCAATAGGTTGCCCAGAGAGGTTGTGGAGTCTCTGTCCTTGGAGGAATTCAAAATCGAACTGGACAAGACACAACCTGCTCTTGCTGACCTTGCTTTGAGCAAGAGGTTGAACTAGATAATCTCCAGTGGTTCCATCCAACCTCAGCCAGTTACTGACTCCAGATTGCCACATCAAGAAGTGCTACTGCTAGGGGCAGCTATGGATAGGAAGTATAGGGGTGCTGTGGTTTAAGCCCAGCTGGCAACTTGGTACAACACAGCTGTTCCCTTACTCCTGCCCTTCTTCCTCCACCTGCTCCCAGAGGGATGGGGAGGAGAACTGGAGGAATGTAACTCCCACGGGTTGAGATAAGAGCATCCCAGTAACTAAGGTATAATACAAACCACTACTGCTACCACCAATAATAATAATGATGAGGGAAATAACAAGGGGAGAGGATACAATTGCTCATCACCCGCCAGCCAATACCCAGCCTGACCTGAGCAGCAATCCTGGCCTTCCAGGTAACTCCCCCCAGTTTATATACTGGGCATGATGTGCTGTGGTATGGAATACCCCTTTGGCCAGTTTGGGTCAGGTGTCCTGTCTCTGCTTCCTCCCGGCTTCCCCTCCTCCCTGGCAGAGCATGAGACTAAGAAAGTCCTTGGTCAGAGTAAACATTACTGAGCAATAACTAAAAACATCGGTGTTATCAGCATTGTTCCCAGACTGAAAGTCAAAAACACAGCACTGCACCAGCTACTAAGAAGGAGAAAAAATGACTGCTGTAGCTGAACCCAGAACAAGGGGCCAGTTGCTTCCTAGCCTGCTTTCCTTGCTGGGCCTTTAATGAAGGTCAGGAATTCATACATCTTTGTTTGTGTTACTCTTTATGAGTTAATAAAATAAATTATACCAGATAGCACTGATATTGGCTAAGGGAAGAACTGGAATGTGAAATTCAAGCTCTTTCTTAGAAACACATCAGGAAGAAGTCTTTATTTGAACTGCAGCCTTGCTTTGGACTGTTAGTCTCTTTGTCTTGCTCACAGCATGATTTCCAAATTCAATGTATTTTTCTTACACAAACTTTTTGTTAACAATGTAAAGAAAAGACTTTTTATTTTTTCCACTTGTGAAAGTCAGTTGTGTAATTTCTGTCTAATTTTTGCTATTTTATAAAAGGCATTGTATCTTTTGTAAAATATTTGTGTAGTTGGCTGTCAATGCCTTTGTTTAAGTCCAGCTTTTGAGATGCTAATTAGAAATGGAAAAAGTTTTCCCCATGAAAATTACAAAATACGTGATTCACTTTGCAAAACATGGCCATCTAAACACAACACTCCTGCTGTTTCTTTTATTTACCCTGTACTTTATTGCATTACCAGGAGTGAATTTCTATGTATTTCTCTGATTCAGAGCTTTCTTCTTGTCAGTGTCTTTCTGCAAATCTCTTGAGACCCTCCTACAAATGAGTTTGAAATTTGATGGGTTGTCACATGAAGGAGGACTGTGTGATATGGCTCACTAAAAGCTGGACACTGGTTACATAAAGTCATCAATATAGCACTGAGAGAATAAATCCCAAAGCACTTTGATATTTTCACACCTTATTTAAAGTCAGTGAAATAAAGGTTAGTTTATCATTTAATGCCTTTATTGTGCAAGTTTAAGTCCTCAAGCAGTCTAATGTTGCTGTGCTTTTTTTTTCTTAGTCTTTCAGAATTTAGCATTTCTATTCTTTTTGAATCTGCCTTAGATTCCTTTATAACAGAGGCTACAAATATTCTTTAATTTACTTTTCAGTAAATCTGTCAGTTGTAATCTGCAATTTAAAAAAACTAATAAATCCTCATTTCACAATTTAAACCTTATTGAGTCTAATTCACTTGCACTGCAAGTTTATTATTCTCCTGCAGCTTGACGTGCCTCCAATTGTAATTGTGTTGACCCTCCGATGCAGTAAATCTCCCCAGTGCTTATCAAACTGGGAGAGATAAGTCTACAATTTGGAACTTCATTAAATATCTCATTTATATTAAACAGATGATGACTTTGAACAGAAATAATAATTTTTACAGACTCTGCGACCTCTTAGTCATGGTCTCCTCGACTTTGCAATGCGGTGTTTCGCAAACCTCACCCCTCCGTGTACCAGGCGTTACGCCAGGACCCCAGTGTCAGAAGTCATCAGTCCATTGGTCTGACTTCAAAGCCTCTGCTGTGAAGACTGTAGCTGAGTGCTTTGTAGCCCTTGAAACTGATTTTTAAAAATCTTTTATAGTGTGTATGTTTAATCATCTGGGGTTTGTGGGTAGAGTGATTAATAACGGGCAGCTGTTTCAAGAACTAAAAACAACCAACAAACACACCGCTTGTTATTGTAATTCCTGAAACTGTGAACTACTCTCATGCTCGTTTAGAGACCAGTCCTTGGAATAAGCGTTCCCAGTGGCTTCAAAAAGTTTGCAGCATGCTCAGTATCCTGCAATATCTGGTCCTTGCTGTGTTTCAGTACATTTAAACATATGCTGTGGGATTTGTGTAAGGACATTGTTCTTGAGATTTAACTATGCACTTCAATATGAAGAGGCTTGTTGGTGGGAACAGCTAATGCTTTGATGTGTGAGTTCATATGATTGCCCTACAAAACATCTATTTTTAAATATTTGTTTATTTATTTTAATCGGTCTAGATTCAGTTCCCCCTGTTTTGGTGATTTGGTTTAAAGATGTCAGTGAAGCTCCTTTGGTAACATTACCTAGTAGCCAACAGAGTGCTAGAGCTCAGGTGAACCAAGAGCTGTAGGGGCAGGAGAGCTGGATCATGTGAGGGCTGGGTGATGGTGTGGGGAGTCTTGTCTCTGCAGTGAGGGACTAGGTGCTGACAAATTGGTCATCCAGACTGACCAGTGAATGCATGGGTGCTCATTCTCCCCTCTCTCAGAGGCTGTGTTGACAGCAGCAGCAGTGCTGCCCATGGCTAATGTGGAGGCTAAACCCAGCTAGACCGTATCAAATTGCTTGCTTTCTTTACCCCATACGGATGCTGCTTTTCACTGAGCTCTGATTCTCTGGGACTCACTAAGGAAAACTCAATGTTTTCCTCTCTTTTTGAAAAATCTGAGAGGCATACACAGGAAAACAAGGGATGGCCAACTTCTGCAAACAAAAGCTGAGCTGGGACGTCACTCAGGAGAGCCTTCTGTTGAATAGCAGCTTTGGTGGGGAGGCAGCATACATGTAGTCTTCTTCCCTGTGCATATGGCTGATCAGCCCATCCGCATCTCTTCTAGACTGAACGAAGCACACAAGGTCTCTGTACCCTGCAGCCAGGAAAGGCAGAGCAAAGAACTCATCATAAGTAGGAAAAAAATAAAATAAAATAAAAGTTTCTGTGAAGTCTGATTTCTTCTTTTTTTTTTCTTTCCCTCCAAAGTGTTTGAGTGTTTGCATATTGATTACTAATATGTGTAGTGGGGTTTCCTGGGGGCTTCCATGATGATTACATTTGAAAGCAAATTGCACCGCTTCAAAAAGCACCAGCAGCCCAATTCCAAATGGAGTTCCTGCTCCATGCTCCTGACAAGGGCCTTGTTCTGACAGGCTGTCACTGTGGGAAAGATGACCCAGCTGTCTGCCTGATAGTACTGAAAAAGGCCAAATCTGTCTGTTTAAGAAATTATCCAACAAAGAGACACTAAAATGCAATATTTTTTTTTTACCAATTTTCGGCTGAAGGTTTTGAAATTTGACAGGGCACCGTGGGAGGTGTAGAGTAAAGTGGCTTAGAAAGTTGGTCGCTAAGCAGAGCTGTCATTACAAATCATATTTGTCCAGGATGAGAAGTTCTAGCTCATTTGGTGCTCAGACAGGTCTAGGCCTTAGGCAAGTTGTTACAATTCCCCCTTGCTGCTAAATGGACCCTGGGCACTAATTTTCCTCTCTCTGTGCAGCTGGAGTCACCTGGGAGCCCCTCAGGGCCAGAGCTGCCTATAGAGACACTGCTGGATGACCGGGAACGGAGGATTTCCCACTCCCTCTATGGTGGGATCGAGGGTCTCAACGAGTCACCCACAAAGAACGTGGCACTGAGTAGAATAATGGGTGAGTCAGATCAGCTCTGGTAATCAGGGTGTGTTTTTATTCCTTTCTGTGATTCATCAAAGGGTGATTAACGTATAAGGTGGGAAACAGGGAACATGGATGTTGCACCAATCAACTTAAAACATGCCTTCAAATTGCTCCATGCAAGCCTTCTGGGTAATTAATGTGAGAAAGTAAGTCAAATGGCATTATAAGGTGAATTTTATATCCTGTGGCAATAGAACAAATAACAGGAGCATTTAACATAGTTTTTCAGTGTCTGATCTGGGCAAATAAATTATTGGTTCATCTAGTCTCCATGTTGAGTCTTCATTCACATGAAAGTCAGTGACTCAGGGGAATTTATAATTAATTTCAGTATTTCTTCTCTGTTTCAGTGATACTAAAGTACAAAAGTAAATAAGGCAAACTTGCATCAGCTTATGCTTATTAGGGCATTTTGTTAATTTGTTTTTAGATTTCTGCTTTGCAGGAAACCAATTTTAATACCTCATAACTAATTTTAAGCAACCCTTGTGTACATTCTGTGCCGTGCCATCTGCCTGGTCCCAGTGGATAATGAGGTTATTAGCAGTTCCTCTGCAGCAGTTCAGCTTTCGATGTACAAAGCTAGGTAACAAAAACTTGCTGTGCCACAGGAGTGGTCGGATTTACTGACTAGGATGGGATTAGCTTGAAAGGATTTTCAAATTTAAGCACAAAAAGCGGCTTGATGAAAATAGCACCTGACAGAAGACGCGACAATTGCTTGCTTGAGTTGCAAGTTTTAAGCGTAAGATGTGGCCATTAAATCTGAGAATTTCTTAGCGTGCTTGACACACGTATAATATATTAGCAGATGCTGCTATAAACCCGATATGAAGCAAGGCTGAACTTGGATTTTAATTGCTTCAGATTGATTTTTCAGCCTTAGAAAATGGAGGTCCACCACTTAGTCAACAGTTTGTATATATATTTCACTCTGTTTTGGGGTTGTGGTTTTTTTTGTTTTTAATTTTGGGGTTCATCAGTTTGGTTTCATCCCTTTAGCAGTAGCCAGTAACTGATGTTTCAACAAAAGACGAAAAATCTTTCCAAAGCTCTTAAAATCTAATGCTTTTGGATACCTCTGCAAGGTAAACATAGGGAAGAAAATCCATCCTGCATTAAGTGTTTTATAACCTGAAGTTGATGTTTTGTTTTCCTTTGTATCATTGTTCTTTCTGTATTGTTTCAAGAAACCAGTAACTGTGTAGAAAGTTGTTTGGTTGTGACTTGAATCCATTGATGCTTCCAGTTGGAAGCACATGGAAAATCAGACTGTGCCTGAACCTCATAGTAAATATGATGTAGGACAGCATAACTGAAAACTGGTCTTGCTAAGACTGGGTCATTCCCTTCTGAAGCAACAGCAGCTTCACAGAACTGGCATGTTTAAACCCAGTTTTTAGATGGCAGTCAGTTTTCTATTATGCTAATTTTTCTCAATTAGTCAGTACCCCTAAGTTACAACTGCAGTGATATTGCATGCATGTTTTCTTGCAATGCCATACAATGAAGAGGTACCTGTTGGGAGAGATAGGTACTGTTGCTTGTTTCAGAGTAGCTAACATTTGTAAGACTCAATCATTTATTATGCATTGGAATTCCCATCCTATTAGTATTGATAATGAGAAAAAACATCTATTTTCTTGGAAATGTATATATGGTATTACATAACTCTTTCAGAGTTTTTCTCCTCTCTTGAAAACTGGCCTAAAAGCGAGGATTAGTCCATAGAAAATCTGGCTAAGGAAGACTGGAGGTCTTCCCATGCTGGTCCTGACCATGAAAACAAGCCAAAAAGAGTGCTTTATGTAGTGTTGATTCCCATGAGTGGTCTCCCCACATTGAGGAGCCCTTTGGCTTAAGGATCTCTAAATCACCTGATGTCTACTCAATGGATTTAGCTATGTAAGCTTTTAGTTCTCTTGGTACATTTTGGTGAGGAGATCACAGTTTGACTTCATGTGTGAAGGAGTAGGTCTTTCTGCTTCTTTTGCTATTTGATAAAACTGATGAATTTCAAGATTTCTTCCTTCCTTTTCCAACCCTAATTATTCTATGATTCAAAAGTGATAATCTCAAGGTCTGGAAAATGTCTGCTCTTTTCAACCGTTGCTTAAAGTTTGAACCAAACTTTTACGAGAGTATTGTTTCTTTTAAATACATATAATGTAATTTTCAGGAAAGGTATTTAAGACAATTTCCTTACTCTTTCAATTCATAACTGACAGCAAGAACTGGTTGTCAGAGCCTTGCTGTGAGAGTGGGAATAAAATATCAATTTTAGAACGTGATTTAAATTATGTAAAATAATGTTTGCTTACTGCAAAAAGGCTACATGAGTCTTTTAATGTTTCTGCCGATTCTTATGTTGATCTACTTTTCCAGGTAATTATTGCTGTTATAGATTTTCTTGTGCTTTTTCACTTGATAATATTTCACTGAAAATTTCTAATGGAGAGGAGATACCACTTTCTGTATTTAGGGAATGGTACTCGTTTATTTATACAGATTGGGCCTTTTAAGAATTAGACAGCTGTATTAAATGCTTATGTTTATTTTTAATATTTTCAGGTTGCATGTTTTTCATACATTCAAAACAACTGTGTTGCACAGGTTTGCTTGGCTCTATGATTAAAAATTCAAGTCTTTTCTTCTGATACACCAGTCTTGTGTATCATCCACTATGCTCCTGAGTTTTGCAGTACGCAAATACATAGTTGCTGTCTCTATAAACTATTCTTTTTCATCAAACAACTTAGTACAGAGTCCTCTTTCATCTGTTCTAGTTGCTGATATTTTTTTTATTAACACAGTGGGTTTTGTTGCTAATGGTGACTAAACAGAAGTTATTTACCAGGGGGTACACAGAATAACAATAGCTTGCACTGAATCTGCTTTTCATCCTGAAGGATACTCCAGAACTTTGTAAAATTTGATAGTTTCTACAGAACAGGAAAAACTTTGTTCTCTATGTAAATAATTGTTATCTTAAGGATAGAACTGGGAGGAAACACTACTGAAAAAGCTAAAAAAAAAAAAAAAAAAGATGGAGATGTAAAGCGTGAAAGCATGTGTGTCAGTGAAATGCAAATACCCTTTATAAGCAGAATGCAGTTCCCTGGCCAGGAGTCTCACCAGAATGTGGTGGTCTGCTACCATAGTCTTGAGAGATCCGAGCACTTTCTTGAAATCCAAAGCCTGGATATAGTGGAGAAATTTTTTGTCTTTAGACATTCCCCAGACATTTATTCCCAATCCCACCCCTAAGTAGCTTGGAAAATTAGATGATATGATATTTATGGGAAAATTTGCTGTGGATATATATGCTGTTAGTGAAAAATAAAAATAAAAAAATTAAGATCTGGAGAAGTTATAATTTCTTATTGCACAGTTCTCTATATCCCTCCTGTAGGAAGTCTCATCACTATTATCATCACTATTTTCTTTTATTATTATTTATTATTTTATTACTTTGGTTAATACTTCATTCTTCATCACAGAGTAGCTGATGATGATTTCTTGATCAGGCAGGTTAGGAATTATTTGCCATGTCAGAATAAAAAGGCCATCTACTTGTGGAGGAGGCTTGAAGTGTACCATTGGTCTGAATCCCAGGGTATCAAAATGTTCATGACAATCACTCATAAAGTAATACTTGGTTTTGAACATATTCTGTGTTCACCAGATGTTTTAGACTTTCCCTGGTCTACAACAAAAGCAACAGCAAAAGCACAAGAACCAAGCCAGATACAGCACCACAACAATAACAGTGCCAAGTTACAACAGCAAACATATTAACCAAACTTCAGGGATTTTCAAGATTTAAAAGGACCTGGAGTAGTTGAGTTCTTCATGAGGAAGACTGTTTTACATTTTATGTACTGTGTATGCTCAGGGTTTTTTTTTGGAGTTCTTTATGTTGGTGGTTTAATTCAGGCCCAGATTGTTTTCTGATCTGTTGTAGGTCTCTGCTGTTATAGGTTTCAGATGTTGCTGTTTGGCATAATTTTCATTCTAAGCTGAAAGTCCTCATAGATCTGGAGATCAGTCATTTTATACTGGAGGTCTGAGACCTCTTCTTCTGCCCAGACAGATGGGAACCCTTCTTAACCATAGTTTGGTGTGGTCCTTAGGGTACGCTTGTTTTGATTGGTAACTTGTTCAAGAAAATTGAGCCTCATTGTCCTGAGATGAGACACACTTGAAAGGGAAAATGTTTTCCCTTCCTTATTACACCATCCAAAATGTTTTATATTATTACAGATTACCTTGTTGAAGTTGAAGCAAAACTGGGCATGAGGTGTATTGAGTCTAAATTTTATAGCACTTTTCTAGCCTGAGGGTAAATTATTTTATTGAAGTTTTGTAGACAGCTCGAGCAACATAGATTTGTAGATCAGTCAAATATACTGACAATTGCTAGGTTTGAAGTTTCTTTGATGTTTCCTTGTAATGTTTCTCACAACACTTGCAAAGTTGCTTTCTCCAAGGTTATTTTCTGTCCACTTCAGCTGAACTCTCCACAAAGGACGTATTGAGTCCATTGCTGAGGTTTGTCTAACCATCTGCTGGAGGTGAAGCCTTTCACCTGTTTTTAGCTTCATCTGCTGTGAAAAGCATAGGCATGTCAGATGGGTTCTCTCCTTAATTCCAAAGCAACTATTAAAATGTCAGTCTTCACCCTTGTCAGATATAAAGAAGGGTAGTGAAAATTTGAAAATGTTACTGAATTACTGTAGCTTCTCAAATGGGAAGTTCAATCTGCCGAATGCCATAAGGTTATACCTTTTCACAATCAATTCTTTGGAGACGTTATTAAATACAGAGTTAACATGTAGGCATTATGTTTGGAAAGAACTACATTATCAGGCTAAACATTAGCCTGTCCATCAAAGAAGCTATTGCTGGGCAAAGAATCAGCTGTTATGCAAACTGAACACATCCATTTCAGTTTGACAGTGATGAGATGTTCACCAGGCAGTACCTTTTTCTTTCAGCCACTTCTTCAGCCTTCTTCAGTGATCTCTTTTGAATACCATTTTCCCCCCTTTGGAAAGCTATACAAAATGTATTATGTAGTGCAGCAAGGATTTTTGCTAGCTCTTTATGAATAATATTTTATTTATTCATTCATTTTTTAGTAATTGCATGCAAAGGTAATGATGGCAACTGAAACCTTTCCAGAAAAGAGGAAAATATTCTTTTCTCCTAATTCTACACAATTTTTCCATACCTGTAGGAAAAATGAACGGTGAAAATATTTGATATGCCCATAGAAGCAGTTTATGTCATAGAAATACAAGTTTTCACTACAGTGCATCACAGTTCTACAATAATTCAGAGTTTCTTGTCAGATTAACAGTTGATTAAAATAGTGTGTTTCTTCTCATGACACGTGACAATTTTAGTAATTGTTTTTGTAAAATAATACATTTCCAGGAATAAAATTCATGTAATGTCATGATTGTTCATTAGAAATAATGTTGCATGCAGTGAGTATTAGGACCAAACATTTCAAATGACAGATCTTTTTAAGTTGAGCATCAATATTCAGGAGGAAAAAATATTCTTAAAGATATTCTGGCCCTGAAAAAATAATGTGCAACTAGTATGAAAGAATCAAACTTAATAATTACCCATTGCTTCAGGTAACTAAATAATGTTCATCTGGATTTGCAAATCTTTATTTTCCTTAGAGCAATTTTTAGCTTAGTATTTCTAGATGCTGAAATAACATCCAAGCTTATTCCAAGTTAAAATTTTAAATTGTGATAATTCTTTATTTCACTGTCATCCAAATAATGTTACATAACCCCCATGCTCCCAACTCTGTACCTCATGCATGTATTCAGTTTCAGCTGCAGTTACATTACAGACCATTGCAATGAAAATATTCCTTCTGATATTTTTCACAGCTTTTTATCCTGTTTCGGTGGCATGAAGTTTTCTGTAGGTTTAAAAGCTTCTTGTGCTTTTTTAGCACTTTGAAAATTGTTATACAATCTTATGCATTGAAATGATTACTGGAAAATATAATTATGTGTATATATTTATTCTTATAAAAGCAGCAGTGTTAGTGGGTTAGTAATATTTATATGCACATTAAAACTGATTTTTACTTGGAAACAGTGATTTACCAGCTTGTAAGAATCCTCTAAATATCATCTTTTAACTGCTACTCTCAGAAATTAACCAAACTAAGTGTGCTGCTGAACAAAGAATAATGTTGAATCTTTATTATGTCTCTTTTATTTAGTTTAAGCTCTAGTTTAAGCATTTTAACAACAGCATTAAAACTTACTTGAATTTGGTGGTAATAGAATTAGGCGGTTTGGTTTGTTGGGTTTTTTTTTTTTCCAAAATTTTCATGTGTGCCTTTGGACTATTTTTCAAAGGAGAGAATGAAAATTTGAAATTGTTTAGCTTTAGCCATGAGTTCTCATCACCTTTCACAATTATTTTCTTTGTTGAGGCATTATTAAAGGGTTTTAAGTTCCCAATAGCAGTCGAACAATTTTCAAATTTTATGAGGGCAAGTTTGATCAAGAGAAGTGATGAGTTCTGTTAGTCCCCATTGCATTCGTTCTTTGTTTCTACCAAATTATTTGATGCAAGAGAAGATACAATCTTCTAGGACAGGTGGTTCCTAGTGAAAAGACCAGAGGCAGTGGGCACAGACGGAAACACAGGAGGTTCCCTCTGAACATCAGGAAACAGTTTTCCACCATGAGGGTGAGCAAGCACTGGCACAGGTTGCCCAGGGAGGTGGTTTAGAAACATTCGAAAGCCACTTGGTCAGAGTCCTGGGCAACTGGCTGTTGGTGTCCCTGCTTGAGCCAGGGGGAGCGGTTGGAGCAGATGCAATGTCCCTCCAAACCTCAAACCTTCTGCGATTCTGTGATCTTGCAGTAGGCCACAGATAGAACTGGTTTGTATTACTTTTCAGACCTCTGTGTAGGAAAATGCATGTAAAGTCAGATATAGTTAATTTTGTTATCAGTGTTGGGTCACTTTTATTAGTAGCATTGCAGTTGGACATGACATTTTACCAGCTCTGATTATATACTATTCAAGGCATTCTGGCATTCAAGGTACTCTCTGACATTATTTAAGTTTTGGGTTTTTTCTCCCTTTTGTTTTTCAGGTAAATATCAGCTGTCTCCAACTGTGAACATGCCCCAGGATGACACTGTCATTATTGAAGATGACAGGCTGTCGGTCCTCCCTCCTCATCTCTCTGACCAGTCGTCATCCAGTTCCCACGATGATGTTGGGTTTGGCACTGTTGATGCTGGTGGATGGGCTAAAGCTGCAATTAATGAGTCAACAGACTGGTAAGAACATGGTTTAGTGGAAGGAAAAAGAGAGATGACTGCAATTATGTCTTTTCCTTTAGTTTATTTTTTGGGTACTGCTACTATTAATCTTTTCTTTTTTTTTTTCTTTTTCTTTTTTTTTTTCATTACATTTAGATTTCACTATTTTCAAACTAGTAATTGTCTCTGCTTTAGGAAGGAAATTTGTACAGATAATTTGTTAGACTTTCTACTTCTCATTGCAGGTTTGTGCTCTGTCAAAGCACATTTGTGGAAATGCTACTAATTGTTATTAAGACCAAATCAGTACATAGCTGTGTTAATTTGATGACTTAATAGTAATTTAGCTGCCAACTGAGCCAGCTTTTGTAAGAAAAAACCTCTGCAAAAATTAAATGCTTGAGTTTATGAAAAATGAAAGAATAATTCCAATTGGAATTTTTTATTTATAAACCTCAGTGTAAATATTTCTAAGTCTATAAACCAAAGATTTTTATTGTTATATTCCAGTATATATCTAGCAGCCTTTCAGTATTTTTCTCTACTTTCTTGTTTTTTCTAGTAGTATATAGTAATTTAAAATCTGCTTAGAGATCAAGGCAGCTCTTTGTTTTGCTTTAGTGTTGATGCTTGTGTAACAGGAACTACTTGAAATTTCTTTTATTATGCACAAAAAATACCTTTCGTATCATTATATGATTTGTAACTATCATGCAAAGTGTACTGTAATAAGTCTACATATAAAAATATGGAAAGTATTAGTTACGTATTTGAAAGTATAGAATCATAGAATAGTTTGGGCAGGAAGGGACCTTCAAAGCTCATCTGGTCCAACCCCGTGAAATGAGCAGGGACATCTTCACCTAGATCAGTTTGCCCAGAATCACATCCAGCCTGTCCTTGAATGTCTCCAGGGATGACGCATCCACCACCTCTCTGCGGAACCTGCGCCAATGTTTCACCACCCTATTTGTAAAATATTTCTTCTTCGTGTCTTAGCCTTGTTTAGTTTAAAACCATTGCCACTGTCCTATCATAATAGGCTAAAAAATTTCTCTCCATCTTTGTTATGGAAAGTAACTTTACTTTCTGTTTACTTTACTGTTTAATCCATAGTAAAAATAATTTCTGTGAATCTTAGGTTGACTCTCCAATTACTTTTATCTATTTTAATATAAGAGTCTTAGAAATGCACTGAGCTCCATTATTGACTTGCTTAGGTTCCTGGCAAAGAAATACTGTTTATTGCTTAGTTAGTACAATTAATACAGATCTAAGATTTAATTTGCAAGTCTTGTAATTATCTATAGTAATAGCAAAATAAAAGCCCACCCCTGTACACTGCCACTTCTTGAAGCTGGATAATTACCACAAATGGTGTGAAGTATATGAATTTTCTTATTTTTCTTGTCTCTTGAGCCTGTTATGAATGTCAGTGGTATCTTAATAAAACAGCAACAGCACCTGCCAGCTGATGTGCACCTGTCAGCTTCATCTTTGCTTTATATTAGTTTATTTCATCTTCAGTCCAAGAATTCAGATCTGTATTCTAAGCACTGTTTTAATGATTGTATAAATAGGTAATTTTTTTCATCCTCATTTGTGTATGTTTTGGACTTTTTTGTTTGTTTGTTTGTTTTTAGGGTTTGGGGTTTTTTTTTAATATTTCAGCTCTTCTCTTGGACAAGTCACGCCTGCACTTGAGTCCCCTGAAAAGTCCATCTGTCTTTTGTAAAAGCTTTTAGAGCTGAGAATTTGAGACGTTTAAATAGACTAGTACTCAAGGCTGCACATAATAGCTTATTTATGCAGGATTTTTTTTAGCTGAATATGAGCAAAAACCTACAGCATAAAGTAAGAGCCCATTTGAAACCTGCAGATGCCTTTGCATTTACTTCTGCAGCTTATCTTGCTATTCATATACTTCTTGTGAAATGAAAGTAACAGTAAATAACATAGGGATTAGATATTTTGGAATTGATCATGCTCAAAACCTTTAAACGCATATGAGAAACTGTAAAGGTTTTCGGATACAATTGCACTTAAAAGTGTAGATCAGTGCAGCACCTTACTATCTAATGTATTCTATTTGTAAAAAGGTAAGTAGCAGCAGAATTAGATTGCTGCATTAATTTCCTGCTGCTAATGGATGAAGGAAAACTTGTAAAACGGAGGTGCATTGTATGATTTTGCTGGAAGGCACAAAGGATAAAACTAAGAATATGGATGAAGGGTTATCCAAACAAGAATGGCAGCTGTTCTGAATCACAGAAGAAAATGTAAGCTTTTCCAGCCTCACAATATCTCCCTAATCCTTGATGAAAATGTTATGAAAACAAAGGGGCAATAAGACAGGATTAATAAGTGGAATTTTAATAACATTGAGGGTCAGAAGACGGTTACATTCTTTTAAGGATCAGCTGTCATTCCAGAAATCTTATTTGTTAAGTATGCTAGAATATAGTAAATTGCATTTGGCATTGTTTAATGACTTGCACTAAATTCACCTTCTGTCTTTTATTAATGTAGTTGAAAAATATTAAAATGAGGCATTTTTAGGGGCATTAGTTCCTCCTCTGTGCTCATTGGCTTTTCCAGTTGTGGATCATCATGGGGGCTTTTGAATACTTTTAGGCAATGTACTTGCATTCAAACTCCTTTAATCTACTCCTTCCTTAATTACTAAAGCACACTTGCGTGTCATTAATAACACAAATAAACCAGGACACTAAAACTGATGACTCTACATATGGCTCATATATTAGTACAGTAAAAAGGTCTACAATGTTGTGATGTCAGAGAACAAGTAATCTTTGGTGCTAAGTAGTGCCTCTAATATGCAAGATACTAAGCAAACACAGAGGAATAATCCCCCTAGTAAGTGTGTGTGGAAAGTAGGTGTGATAAGGGTAGGTAAGGGAAGCAGAGAGAAAGCCCCTGAAGGAGGTGGTGTCAGTGGAAATGCTGAGATCCAGTCTCTAGAATTCCTGGTTGCTGACTCCATGTCCAGACCTCATTGCTCTCTTTTTTCATATGAAAAAAAGGAGCATGCAGCCAAAACAAATAGTTTTACAAATTCACCCTTTTTGAAGAAAGTGTCACAGGATACATTTTGTTCGGCAAGATGAAGCCGGTCATCTTTAACTAACGTGAGCTGTGTTAACAGATGTTGTTAGAGAAAATTCTCACTTAGTAAAATCACATTTTTCTGGCCTTCAGAGACAGGGTTGACTAGCAGTGAGCCAGAAACTCCTGTGTGGCCTGGGAAAGTCATTTATGTTCTGATTACAAAAGGCATTGAAAACTTGCAAATTCAGTTGAGTCATTTGGAGGATGTTTTCAGACTTAGGTGGTTCTTTTTCAGCTACATGTTCTAAATTCCAGAAGTGTATATTGGCCTTGTCTGTTTTATCTTTCTATCATGTGGAGATAATTTTTCCCTATTTTGTGGGAGTGAATGTGAGGGCTAAATAGTTATTTTTGAGTTCAGGCTCTGATTCATCAGAGCTTTTAAGCATATGCTTCAAATGTTGCTAAATTGTGCAGACATCTCTGAAATAGTTGCAGTAATTAAATGTAAAACATTATGAGCCTGAGCCAGAAACATTAAAGTCAAAAAGCGCTTGACATTGACTTTATTCATATAAGCTCTGATCCTGCTCTCACTTAAGTATTATATGCCTGTCACAGGCACATATCTTATTATTTGTAAATCTGCCACTTCTAGGCTGAATTTCTTCTAGGCTGTTGGTAATGCGGATAGTGATTTTCATCCTTTATAGTACTTGATTCCTTTAGACACTTTTCCTTACCTTTCTTCACTGTTGTGCCTAATACCCAGGTGTTGATCAAAGATGCTTCTATATATTACAGTACATGGAATACATCAACATATGCATGTTACAGAATTTAAAAGTATAAGTTGGTTTCTTCAGATATTCACTATTTTCCTCTTTCTCAATAGGCATAAGATGTGTCTTATACATAGTCCTTAAAGTGGGAAATAATTCTTTTGAAACATGTTGCTGAACACTGACATGTATACATACAGTATTTTGAATGACATTTAGTCTGTTTAGAGGTTTCGTTGGCAAGACAGCTTTTTTTTTGCTTTTTTTTTTATCTTGAACTACAACAATAATCAGAGGGAGGATTTTGAGGAATCTTTTTTTCTACAGGATAGGTAACAATGGTGCAAACACTTCCACCACCACCACCCCCTACCCCCCCCATCCCCCCGAAGTATTTTATGCTGTTGATTTCTTTTTGTGACAGCTGAAGTAGAAATCTAAATTCTTTGGGCTTGCCTTCAGGCTCTCTCTAATACTGTGCCCTTTTCCAGCAGCCATAAAATGTTTGTGTGAATTTCCTTTCATACTATTTATTAGCAATAAGCAATCTTGCATTTTTAAAAATTTTTCATTTTTAACATGAGTCGTGGCCATGGTGACACATTGCAAGCCTAGGGTTTAGCTTGCACACCAAATTTTGCCTGCATTCTTGCATTCATGATTCTATCAACATTTGGCCAACATTTACAAATCTGTCATCAGCATGCTTCTGATGAAGCAAAGTGAAACACTGATCACTGCTCACTGAAGACCTGACTCACTCAGCCAAGGTCACGCAAGAAACCTTCAGAAGAGGCTGAAGCTCAGTCCACTTACCCCCATTTCTGATTCAGTGGTGCAATCACTGTGGTAAATATTTGCACTGTAGGTAAATGATGAGTAAAAAATAAGTTTGCTTTTCATAGCCAGGTTAAAACTAGGAGATGCTGTGAAAAAATTACAAGCAATTTCACATATGGAGAAAAATTTTCATGCAAAGTCTTTAAATTAAGAAGTTTAAAGCACTGTGGACTTCGGGCAGGACAGTCTCTATTTATGCTTTACTAAAAACATTTTGTCATGAAGGCAAATCTGGTAATTCACTATCAACAGAATATATTTGTTTCTCATGAAGAAAAAGGAACTGGTTTATTCTCCATCAAATTATTTCCGTGTTGGGGCTGTATATTCTGGTGGTGTATTTATAGTACACTGGATATGTATATCTTTCATTAAAGCTCATAAGTAAAATTCTTGATACTTCTTAACTAGAATTGCTTGATGCAGTAAAACAAATCAATTGTGTGCGTAACTGACTACTTGCAGTGGTTTATTTTAAAATGTGCACTTTATCATTGGTAGAAGTCACATGCTAAATTAATGCTTTTCTCTGCAGAGTGAAAGGTTGCGTGATCTTGATAAATGTTTGAATGATTTTTTTCCCTTCCTACAGCACTCTTAGTCCAGATGTTGATCCAGTGCTTGCCTTCCAGCGAGAGGGTTTTGGACGCCAGAGCATGTCAGAAAAGCGTACAAAGCAATTTTCAGATGCCAGTCAGTTGGAGTTTGTTAAAACACGAAAATCCAAAAGCATGGATCTAGGTAGTGAGTGATATTTTTTCAATTGTTTTACTTGAACCTGATTTTCATGTTGTAAGTATATAGATTTTATAATTCCAAACACATTGTTGATGTGCAGTACTACTGCATGCAAAGTCTAGTGGTGGGAAGTAAAATATTCTTAACGTGAATAGCCAAGTGGCCTGTGTATTGTCTGTACCACTTGTAAATGTCCATACATTTAAATACAGTAGCTCTCTGGATATATGGTTATACATAAACACTAAAACTATTTATTAAAATGGAGCTGAAACTGCTTAAAATTGTACCACACGGTGGTTCTGGGTAAACAGGGTAATTTTCAGTTCATGATTATAATGCAGTTAGCCTTAAAGACCCTTCACAGTCTATCATTCTGTAGACGGATTCAGAATTAGAAAACGGGGCTAGTCTGACATCTGCTTGAGACCCAAGTTTTAATATTTATATTAGAAGCCCTATAAAGTAGCAGCAGCTGAGACAGGCAGTCAACTAAAATAATTTTAACAGATAAAACAGTTGAGAATACGTAATCGCTAACAAGCCCATCTATTTTTCTGCCATTGAATTAAGATTCTGAAGTGCAGACTCTAGTAACCTTAAACAGTGAGTTTTGATTGTTGAAAGACACCAAATTCCCTACTCAGAATAATAAAATACAATACAATTCACTCCTTTGCAGTAATTGTGAATATCTTAACTACAGTCCCTAATTCACCAACTTCCCCAGGGGACAGTGAGGTTGGTGGTGTTGACTTGTCTTGACTAGTTGTGATGTGCTAACGTGTAAATAACATATTGTACCTGCCTGTGATGTGAACATGACTGACATTGCATGAAGGTTACTAGTTTGCTGCCACTTCTACCCAGAATGTTTGCTTACTGTTGCAGTTTACTTGCATGAAGTATGACATTGCTAAGGTCCCCTAACTTGACCAAAAATATGCGAAACAGAAGGAATGTTGGTTGCATGTGGGGCATGGGCACTAACTGGGCTAACCGTTATACATTTACCTTTTAACAGTAGCTGACGAGACTAAGCTCAGTACAATGGATGACCAGAAAACAGGTAAGAATTGACAGTAAGGCTGTTGCTATAGAAACCTTGGTCAAAGCAGCTTACCACAATTACAGAACTGCCAGTCAAATTGCATGAAAACATGAATATTCCAGTACTTGCATGGCTGCTTTCTATTGCTGTGTATAATCAAGTCATACGGGAAAAGAAAATTCTCTATGTAGATAAATACCTAGGGTAGTATACTCCACCAGGTCGTACATGTATGTGACTGTAGGAAGACACCTGTTTATACACTTTGAACTCATAAATATTCACAGTTGTTTGGATTTTTTTGTCCTTTCAAAGAAATCTTGGAAAATCTCCTCCCAGCTTCAAGCTCTAATGTACAGAGAGATGATGTAGAATTGAATATTTGGCTATTACAATACTAACACCGTACTTGGAAGTAATTATTTTAATTAGAAAACTGCTACCTTTGCCTTAAGTGGTCATCAGATACATATTGTGAGTTGAGTATTATTTGTGCAAGTTTATTTGCCTTTGGAGCTGAAACCTAAGCATCCCAACAGAACAAAAGAATATGTAAATAGCATTTTTTCCATGTATGTTCGATTGTAATGTTTCACACAATGATAACGAGAAATAGCTTTCAAAGCATATTTTTTATTAGTAATTAAAATAATGCGCCAACTGCAATTATGAACCTTTATGATTTATTAATAGAAGTTATCTTTTGACCTTTGGAATGCTATTTTAATTAGGCTAGGTGCAGAGGACACCATAACATTACTTAGCTCTAATTGGGAACAATCCACCTTTTTAACCTCAAAATATTATTTATTTTATTTATTTTATCATTTGGGGAGTAGAGGATTCCATACAGAATTTACAATTAATAATTCACAACTGCATCTCTGTTTAACCACACTTTACAACATGAATAGGAATACTGAAAAGTTGTAAGTAATCAAGTGATAAAATTATAATTTTTATTTAAACAGTTAATATTTCTAGCTCTTAAAATGTTGCAGAATTTGGCCACAGACTTGCAGCTTTATAAATTGAGAATGAGTACACAAGATTAAAATGTATGAATGTTTTGAAGGATTAAAGCCATCAGAGTGTGAATATATGAGTTGCATTAATGGTTGTGGTAATAATCGATGCTTAGGAACTGCCTTCACCCCTGAACATTATTCATATAAAAAGGAGTTACAGATCAAACTCAAAATTATTGTAAATTATCTTTCATTTTCCTATTAGCCTGCCTGTTTGAATGATATGTGATTAGAATGGTGTAAAACCTGTGTGTTTCAGTAAAATATGATGCTTAGATTTTGAAAGTGCATAGTGGCTTTGGGGGTATCAATAGACGGTGGTATTAATTGAGCGTAGTTTTTCCTCTATGTGTAACACCTGGATTAAATTCCAAAAAAAGAGACAAGTCAGACAACTTGGGTGAAAGAGCATGACCGTAACCATCTGGACTAAGCAGTTACATATTCTGTGCTCAGCAAGCCCAGTGGCTGGAAAAAAAGAAAAACACCTTTTACTGTACTTTAGTTTTATTTATCTTGTGTGCTTTTAACCAGGTTTTGTATATAAATGCTGGATATCTCCCATTACTGAAGATGGATGTGGCTGTTAAACAAACCACTTACTATAGTTTGCCTTAAAAATCGTTTGGTTCTAAGAAAAAAAAGCCGCTTCAGCTGTGTGGTGTTTTAATGAACTCTAGAAACCAGAAAACTTCAGCATATATTTACTTTAGAAAAAATGAAAACAAATTCTGTTACAGTTAAAGTTGTACTTAATAGTATTGGCTGAAAAGAAGAGTGTAAAACTCACCAGCCCTAGTTACTAGTAATATTATTACTAGTAATAGTTTTTTAATTATTTTTCTTTCTATAGTTCATTTGAAGTGCCTAATCCTTGCAGTGTTTACAGATCATCCTGGAGGTTAGAAGTATATTCAGTAGCAATTGAGCATGGCCTATTTATTGAGTCCTGGGCATACTATAGTTCTAGGTGGTTATTTTTCCATGTACACATTGTCAAAATGAAAAAGAATGAAAAAAAAAACCCAACCTCAAAGAACCTGTATTTAAATTGTTTATCTATTTTTACACAGTGCTTTTATAACAAATTGTTTAATTAAATGCAACCAAAATGGAACTATTTTTGTTGCAGTTCCTTGCTATATTCCTCCCCTGCTCTCATCAAAATGTTACTTTTTTAGTGTAAGGGAACTAGGAATAGAAATGTATCAGATCTAATGGAGCAGATGATAGTAAATAGACACTCACTGCTAATGTCCTTTAAGAAAGTAGACTTTGTGCCTTTGCAAAATTGTTTTGATCAAATTGAGGAAAGTTTTTGGCATCAGTTGCTGGTAGTATTTAACCTAAGAGCTAATAAGAATAACATTTCAGTATGAAACAACATTGTCATTTTAAATCACTTGAAGTGCTGACGAAAACTTTACCTTATAGCCTTTAAAATTAGACATTGAAGGAAACATCATATATCGTTTGTCAGTGCTTTTTGCTTTTGCAAATCACCCAAATGGATTTGTCCCATAGTATAAAAATGTAAGGCAAAAGAAAAGGAAGCACAATGATCTGTTAAACAGCACCAGCACAAGGGAAAAACAAAGGGCTTGGAGCAGGGAGCAACACGTAGGCTTCACGTGATTGTATGTGTATTAATGGTCTCATTGGATCTGTACATGTTATGAAGTAACATGGTGGGGGCTGGCTGTGCCATGTGAGAGCAGACACACACACTGCCAGCACAGTCATGCATGACCAGAGAGGGTGGTTGCATGGCCTGGAGGGAAAGGCTGGGCTGTGGTCCCCAGTGGCTGGCTGGCTGGGTATGTAGAGAGTGGCAACGCATGTGTGGTGGGCAGGCGGTGTGCTTGACAGGGTGGTGGCAGCATGTTACAAAGCCCTTGGGAGATGGATGAGGTGTGTGGCATGTAGAGGAAAGCCATGTGGCTGAGCAGAGGGCTGCTATGGTGCACAGGGATGAATCTACCTCAAAGGATACTTTTTAAGAAAATTGTTGGAAAGGAAAATTTTTATAAACTTTGAATTTTAAAAATGATAGAAGAATCTGTTTCATCCCTCACTCATATAAAGATGCTTTTAGGTAGATGTGTCTTTTTCTCTTTTTTTTTTTCTTTACTTTACATTCTAGTGTCAAAATAAAACTTGTTCGGAGCAGATAACGTTTCTGATGATTACCACCAGTGCTGTGAAAGCTCAGAGAAATGCTGACATTTTTGTATTTAGAAAACAGGGTTTTGATGTGACTCATAAATTTTAAACAGAATCCATTTTAAAGAAAGTTTGCTGTTTCTTACCAGATTATGGGTAAACAACTCACTTTCTGGCTCGTGAATTCTAGTAATAAATTCTGAACTCAATTTACAGGGAGGCTTAACTATGTGTTTGCAAAATAGTAGACTTGCTATGAAATGGCCATAGAATTTAGCAAAGGTATTAAAATATACATAGCTTTACGATCACAGGGCTTAAATTGCTTGTGAAAAGACATTTCCCTCTTTCAGGTTCTGCAACCTGTTCACATTTGTGTTCATGGCCACCCAAGTTCGATGAATATTCCTATCATTTATGTAATCTATTATTAGTTTTACAGTACTCAAGGAACATTAGGTCATATCCCATCTAGCTTTTCCTTTGGGAAAGCACGACTTGCATAAATACAGTTCTCACAAAGATCTGTATTGGGTGGCAGGAAATAGAATGTTTATAAAATGTTCTTTATGAACATAAATGGGCACATAAATGCCTTTTTATAATTACTGTTTACAAAAAGAGCCACTCGGTAATTAGGAAAAGATATATGAGCATCTGATTTAGAAGGCTGCAAAGCAGAATGTGGAATAAGGAAGTTTACAGTAAGTTGCTGTGTAAGAGGATGCCCTTTCCTCTTGTATATGAAATTGAATCTGTCAAACAGCTGGTTTATATATGATTGTCATGTTTCCTCTCTTTTTTCCTTCAAAGTGTTGCATTCATTTTTCCTGTCTCATGAACTGCTTTTAACAAAACACAATCTTGAAAAGAAAAAAACAAAATAAAATCTCATTTCTTGTGTTCTGAAGGCATTAGTGGAGGAATAGCAGATTTTGCCATATGCTAGAAAGCAGACAGTGTTATAGGGCACTGTCTAAATGAAATTTGAGTTCTTTAAATTGGTGAAGAGAGTGCTGTGTAAAAATACTTGCCTTAGACTTCAGCCCATGTTCCGAAGTTTGGTGAGCCTGGGCTGCAGTGTGTTTGTACAGCTGGGGAGCCATCAAACCTTCCTTGTCCCAGCTGGCTGCTGTTGTTCATCCCAGCAGCTGCACTGTGCCCCCAAACCATCCTCATGACCCTCAGCACTCCAAGCAGTATGGGCTGTGGGTGAGAGGGTGGCTTCTTCTCGGAGATGCAAGTTCATCAAAATAAAATTTTTCATCTGTGGGGTGTGTTTATTTCTGGCTGAGGGTCCACGCAGCAGGACGGGACTGCTGGGGGAACCAAAGTGCAGGAGTTGTGTAGACCTGTGCAAGAGGATTTTTGTTTTGTTTCTATTTACAAGTTCATCATATCAGTAGGGCAGCTGAAAGAGAATCCTTTGACAGCTGCTGTTTGAATTTATTTGATCTGAGGGATTTCAGTTTAACATAACTGCTCAGAATTTTTAATAGGTGAATAGAAAATGAAAACATTTGCTGCCTTGCTCCATCTCATATCAAATTAACAAATGAAATGGAGAACTGCCATGCTGCTATTCTACATCACTTCTGTAGGTCCAGCAACTCCCTTCCTCTCCACCCAATTCCAAAGCTGTTTGTGGTAGTGAAGTAGTTTTCCCCAGTTCAAGGTAACTTCACATACCTTTGTTAAAGAACGGTGGCAGATAATATCTCTTCTCCCTCCTAATATCTATCAGAAAAGGGATCAATTCTAGAGCTTTATATTATTCTGAGATAAAAACTTGAAAAAGAAAAATAATAATCCTTGCATTAGTCACACTAGACCTTGCTTACAAATGTATTGTTCATTGGGTTGGTATTCCTGAGGGTTCAGTTCTTGGAGCGCTCTCTCAGTGGTGATTGACTTAGAAATTTATCTTCCTGTGCCTCTGTCAGATGAGGATACAGATGTCAACTGAGTAACAACCCACCACCTGGGACTGCTGTGGCGCCACAGCACTCTTCTCTGTTCCACTGCCTTTGGGTAGAGAAAAAGTGAGGTTTCCGTATTCTAGGTGAGGGCTCTGGTCTCATAACTTCAGGAAATGTAGCTATGATGATGATGTCTGACTTCATCTTGCTCTCCAAGCCCAAATTCTATCGAAAATCTGGCCATGACTATACTGCACTTCTGCTTTTAGTCATTTTAAATAAATGCAGTGATTTCCTCCTCTGCCCCAACCCCCCTCATCCTCAAAGATTTCTCCCAGTTTTAACTATAATATGAGATCTAATTGTGTAATTGTCAGCTGATTTGCACTGTTAGTGTATGTATTTAAAAACAGAAGCTTGACATTTAGTCCACAAACCTGACAAGAAAAGTCGGGATGGGGAAAAGCTTTTGCAGAATACTGTCTGGGGCTTTCTTGGCACAACTCTGGGCATGCTGCAGTGGTAAGAGCTGCCCTCAGCCCCAGCTGTAGTGCTGCCCAAACATCAAGCCCGTGACTGCCAGGAATGCATTTCTTTCCCAGCTGGAAAACTGGTATTGCCTGACTAATTGAGTCATTTCCACAGACTGTTTTCAAGCAACTTCACAAAATCCCAGCAAGTCAGCTGGTATTTCTCAGAAGTGTTTCATTATGAAATTGTTAGCAATTTGATGAAAGTCTTCAAAACTCAATTAAAAGCAAACAACATGTTCCTTGAAGCCAGAAGTCAGGCTACTTTGCAAGACTGTTACTCTAAACACAGTAGGATTCATGCCCCTTATCTGCTCTCTGTTCATCAGATGCTAGGACTGATGAATTTTTTTTCTCAAAGCAAAGATAATTAATAGTGTTGTTTGATGCCGTTAGATATGTATCTCTGCTGGTTTTGTGGCCTATGTTTTTAAAGTCCTGTGATTACTTTATCCTTCAGATTGTTTAAAATAATAATTTTATTAATAATAGATGATAATAGATTAGATAACAATAGATGCTGGTCTCTCTTCACTGACTTGAAAAGCCAGGCATTGCTAACGTTGTCTGTTTCATTGCCTGTAACTTGACATACTCATTCACTACTGAGACCAACAAATCTGTGGAGAATTCCCTACAGATTATTGAGAGATGATGTGAATAATGTTAAGTATGTCCCCAAAGACTTTCAGGATGGATATGCATAATCAAGCATGCAGTTCTCAATACTAATTCTAATTACTTTTTTTTTTCCCCTCCCTTAAATCACTAAGGTTCCCCAACCAGAGATGTGGGGCCTTCATTAGGTCTGAAGAAATCCAGCTCATTAGAAAGTCTGCAGACAGCCGTTGCTGAGGTGACTCTGAACGGTGATATTCCCTTCCACCGCCCGCGCCCGCGAATTATCAGAGGACGAGGCTGCAATGAAAGCTTCAGAGCTGCCATAGACAAATCATATGATAAACCTGTAGCAGATGATGATGATGAAGGCATGGAAACTTGTAAGTAAACTGTTGCTGTACATAAAGAATGTTAACATAGGATAGTTCCTTTAGAAAGGAATTAAAAGTAGTAAAAGATAATTTTAGGATTTTAAAAGAATAGAACAAACTTCTTTTCATCAAATATTTTCAGGCTTTTTCCCCTCCATATGCATTAACAGATTGCAGCACTCTGTAGCTTCCTTCCTTTCTAAAATAAGAAAATAAGGCTATTAGGAGTGTATTTACTTAAATTATTATGAAAAATCTCTGTAAGACAGCTAATTAATTTACTAATGTAAGTTAGAAAAAACATGCAGAAAGACAAAGAAAACACTGAATTTATGTTACAAAAATATGTGCATCTAAGTTTGAAAGAGTACATCTGTAGTGTCTGGGCTGGGGGAGGGAAGAAATCACTGTCCTTTAATTAGAGTGAGTAAGGCTGGCAGATCTAATAAAATATAAAGTTAATGATCAGCTATTACCCACCCTAATGGGCATTCATTTACATTTTCAGTTCTTTAACCCGAAATATGACCCAACATGTGGAGAATGTCATTAACATAAAAGAATCACTTCAAAGCTAACCTTATCATTATTGAACTATGTAAGAATGGGCTGGTAAAATGACAACTCGTATTGAATGAAAATAGTATGAATGGTAAATTACCTCAATCAGGGGTTGTATTAAAATCATTGAATTTTTAACCTTCATGTTGTACTACTTTCAACTTGTCACACACCAGCAGAATTTTTTTAATCAACCTCCAGCTAGTTAGAAGTTTATGAATGAAGATGATGGTGGGGAAGGTTGAAGTAGTAAAATATTTAGCCTGAATGCTAACAGAAAAGGCTTGAAGAGAGATTTTTTCACTCTCCGCTTTTTACGAATTTTTTTCATTTCAGAAAGTCCGTTTCATAAGTGTCATTCCTAATAGTCTTTTAGAGGCTACTTGTGTAATCAGTCTTCGATTTTTTTTAAACTCTTTGCTTTTTTTAAAAAAAATCTGCCTCTTTCTAAAAGTGTTCTGAGACTGAAAAGGAGGTCATTTTGCCAGTCACTTTTCTCAAAGGTAGTTACAGGCAGAATTAATTCTGCTTCACTTTTCCAGTACCTAGCAATTTCACGCAGCAGTGAGGCTAAATGCTGGTCTGGTGTTGCTGGCTGTCAATCTATTTCTGGCCAGTGGAAGAATAGGTATGATAAAATGTGTAGTGATCCTACTCATTCTTCCAAACTGCATGCCTATGGGCTTTTGGGACTTAAGACCATGTTTTTCTAAAAGGCCTTGTTTGTTTTGAACCCAGTGATAGTAATATCCTGTTTTGGGGCATCAGATAATGCTTATCCAGAAGTTACAGATGGTTTAACTTCATTTGATCAAAAATATAGCAAAACCGTTGTCATTAAATGCTTTCTAGGTGAGTATAGATTTATGAGATTACTGTAAGGGTTTTTGAGCTTCTTGATGTAATGCATAGAAAGTAGCAAGGAACTATTTAGGGGCCTTTGTATCCTTTGCATGGGAGTAGCAGAAACCAGACAAAGCCTTCTGGCTGAAATTGAAATACTATGAGGTGAGTCTTTGCCCTCATCTCTCTGTATGAAGAAAGTCATCTAGCACTGGGGGAATGAGAGCCATCTCAGTGTCATAAGAGAGCAAAAGCAAGGCTGTTCTCCAATCTCATGGTAAAGAAGGGTGAGAAAAGTGTGACCAAGTGGTGTACGTTGAAGTGCATGTTCTGCTGAGTTACTTGTGTTTTGATAGCTTCCATGTATTACAATAGAACATCTAAGAAGTAATCCAGAGATTTGCATTGCCAGGTTAATAGATGCGTATGAGTAGCAATGCAGATACGGTAAGTTGGTTGGACAGAATCCAGTCCTCGAGGTCTTAGAATCATAGAATAGTTAGGGTTGGA